ATTCAGTTGAGTCCCTCGTGAAAACCTAATTGATTTGCAAATGAGTGTACTTCTCGAAAGCAGTCCAATTTGGGTTCAAGTAGAGCATGAGGTTAACGGAAGCTCGGGGACTGAGCCCGAGCGATGAGCCCCAAGAAGGGCGAAACCGGTCGTGGGCTGTCGAAGCAACCCTGTGCGTAGTTTCCTTTATGAAGATATGTCTGAGTGTTCTAGAGAGTGAATTTCGAATTTCCAAGCGGATGGGTGACAGGGAGCTCCAGGCGGGAACAAAAATCCCAAAGACAAGCATTGTTTTTGTGAGGACGTAAATCACTACTCATAAAGTTGCTGAAATTTCTTAGCCAGCCCACAACCAGTTTTGCCCTTTCTGGGTCTCATCAAGTAGGCACAGTCCCCGAGTTCCCCCATTCCCGTATGTTCTGTACCTAGATTGCTCATCAAGTAGGCACAGTCCCCGAGTTCCCCCATTCCCGTATGTTCTGTTTGAACCTAGATTGCACGAAATTTGACCTATACACTTACCTGCATACCATTTTGCTTTTGACGCGAGAGTCACCTGGACTCCAGGTAAATCTCTCGCTTTTTATTATGTTCTCAATCACTGATTTTTATCACCAGAATTACGAAGTGAACGACGAGGATCGTTAAATGAGTAAAACAACTGCCGACCGTGAAGTTCACCTGACTCTCTCGGTTTCAGGGTTGACAATATTAGTATGATTCCGGTCGGTGCTGCCTGATAAACACCGATATCCTTGTTTTCTGGGTTTCATGAGGTGACGACTATTCACAAAACTAATGGAAAACATGGCCAGATTCAGCTGACGTAAATATGTCTGATATAAGCCTTAGGTTTGCAGCTAGATAGAATAGACCAGGGGTAGATGCCAGTGCTTAACTGCCATAAACAAAGATTAGTTCAGTGGAAAAATAATTAAGGGTAAGAAATCGGTGCGAAAGATCCTGAAGGAAGGCGATCAAAGACGGATTGTCTACACCTTCAATCATCAGTGGAATAAAATCTGAACGCCGTTTAGAACGACCCCGACAGGCTCGACAGGGCACGGCTTGCGGACCCCACCCAGCACAGGCCGAGGATGTAGCTACTCAAAGACAACAGTTACCCAGTCTGAATAGAAACTGATATAGCGTTTGCCAGTGAGATCATTTGTGTGCTGTGTCCAGTGTGCCTCTTGACCACGTGCAACGACAGCCACATGAACCCCACCAGGAAAGCTTAAAGATCTCACAGGATCCAGTCCTCATCGTCGCGTCGCGTCGCGTAAACTGTTGTTCACACGCTTCCCGTCAGGATACCAAATGAAATGTGGGCAGTGGTTACGTAGGAATGATGTGAGCACCCAAGAACCTCCACTTGATCTTCGAGAAATACACTCACTTGTAAATCAATTTGATCCTCACGAGAGACTCAACTGAATCTCTTGTTTATGATATTTTACAACTGCATATACTGCACACAGGCCGCCTCATGATTCATTTGGTACGATATTCGAGATATCGCAGTATATTTTCACGTAAGAAACTACTCATAAGGTTGGTGAAAATTCTTCGACAGACCACGACCGGTTTCACCCTTCTTGAGGCTCATCAGGTAGGCGCAGTTCCCGAGTTCCCATCAACCTAATGATCTACTTGAACCCAAACTGGACTGTTTTCGAGAAATACACTCTTTTGGGTTCAAGTAGACCATAAGGTTGACACGCCAATCTCCGCTTGATGTTTTTCATAGGTGTAGTAGAGCCTTAGAAAGTCGGCTGCTGTTTTCAAAAACTTGCAGGCGTTCCTCTTCGTCCTAGAAATTCAATAAAGCTTTGTACTCTCTCTCTCCCTACAAAGCCAAAGGCCCTTTAGAGCTCGAGGAAAATGGTGTGCGGTGCTGCTCAATCATTTGACCGACTAATACACTTGCTAGTTGATCGTAATCATTCTTTCATTCCCAAACTGGCGTCCACATACCGCACACTTGTGCGTCGGAACTTCGGAGAAGCTACAGCGGTGTAAGGCCTATAATTCCGTAGCCGCATTTCAAGGCCATTTCTGGATAGTTAAGATGACTGATTCGCCCAAGTTCGTTGGACTACATTTTCGATCCTAGGTAGGATAAATGAACTTAGTCAGACAGGACCGTAGAGGCAAACTCCTGTAATTCATTAATGCTAGCCGCCCTCCAGTTCGGCAAAGTTTGGGCGGAAAGCGTATACTCGAGTGCATCGTAAAGTGACAGTCCGTTGTTCTATTAGAGTGGGTTGAATGACACATACGCATAAGGACAAGGGAAGTGTCGAGTCTGAAGCCTCCCACCATGCGGTGTGAACATTTGCCCCTTTCAGATATTACATCTTCCGTCTCATAGTTGGTTAAATTTCATGCACATTTATCGATTTCTTTTGTTCTCTGTATATATCGAATGAAGCGACAACAAAAGGATACTTTCTTCCAGATAATTATCCATAGCTACGAAGATGCCTAAAGTTAGCCGTTGATAATATCTGGACAGCGAGAATTCTGTAAACTCACCTACTACGCGTAGATCTTGGGCGCGAGTTTCGGTCGATATGAACAGATAATCTGCCTAGATCGTGCACAATGGCAGATTGCCGACCTGTTTCGTCAAGTGACCGCAAGTTAAGGGCCTTGGTGAGAATTGGAGGACTGACGTCTGGATAACCTCTCTCTCCCTCTCTCTCTCTCTCTCTCAAGATATACGACTATGTAGTAAATTATGTTTAGTCCATGCCTCTACCCATTTCGTGCATCCAAATGTGTTTCGAATTTTCTTTGCAACAAATCTGTGGTTATTTTGTAAACCATGACCGTGATCAAAGTCAGTAATTTTCAGATGGCGAGAATCACGGCAACAAGAGTTTTGGGTTCTCTGCTGGAAGTGAGCTCTTTCAAGAAGACGTTTCGTCCTTGTAGACTATTGGGCATAGGCTTGGTAGATTTGAGTGTCGGAATGAATGAAAAGCCTACGGGTGTACTGTTTTCCGTGAACTGATAATCGTGAAAGATATGTGGGAGCTGAATACCTAGAGAAGGTAAACTTGGAGACGACACCAACAGCAAAGAGGAGGTGACCAGTGATGTTGGTCAGGACCACATGTTCTTACACGCAGCGTCTAGAGGATAGCTAATAAATGGAGAAGTTAATGAGCTAAACGAAAACAGACAGCTAAGATAGGAAGCATCAGTGGTCTTTGAGTGTTTGCCTTGTATTAGGCAATGATTACGGCATCCCAGCTAACTTCGATGGTCAATGTGAGATGGGAATGATTTCCTCTGATTGAAGTACTGTCAGAATACTCAAACAAAAACACAAATCTGGATTTTGGCTCCGAGTCACGATACACCGTCACCGACCACTAGTGTAAGACCATCATACTCTTGAGAACCAGACTGCCAATATGTTCCAGCTCCTAGTTTGGAGGGTCTGATTTGTGTTCATCAACCAAACTGTCTGAAGAAACTCTGTGGATGTTGCGTGGGCCTTCTACACTATAGATCAGCAAATCGTCGTACCAGGTTGGCGGCCAGTTTCTTCATTAACATAGACAGAACAGCTAGGGAGTTAGGAATTGGATCTTTGTTATTCCCTATCCCTTTTTTAACAGAATGTGTTAATCTGCGGAAAAAACGTTGACTGACAACCTACCACGATAGAATTAAAAAAATCAGGGTGGTCACGTGACGTTTTCAGCGTAATTCTAGGGTTTGGCTTCAGGCAATTTTGCAGGCTAAAATTACGTATTTCACAAAATTTTAAACCTCTCAAGGTTTTTCTAGACAAATATTGTTTCTTATCGTAAATTATTGACGCAAGGAAGTGAAATTTGGCTCCTGTGTGCATAAAGCACAATTTTATATTCATATGGCATGACACACTACTGAATAGGTTGCTGAAAAAGGGCAACCCAGCTGAATTCCCAGCTGGATCTCCCGTTTGTGCTACTCTTTCACCGAATGTGCGGCAAAAAGCCGCTTTTGGCTTTGATTGGTATTCGGCTAGGATTCATTCGAGCCTCCTGTTTAGGACAAATTATTCTCGAATGGGCATAATTCATGATTTTATGTATTTATATATTACATATTATATCATATTTTATTATATTATTGTATCATATATGTTATACCGTATTTTGTATACTTTAATTAATGGAAACGGTGGAGGGAGGAAGTCTATAACAACAAAGAGAACAATACTGGCGAAGAGGAGTAGAAAAAGTAGATTGCACCTCTCGAACACAACGCTGCTTGTTGCATTGTTACGTAGTGTTTACGTTTTTCCGCAGTAAAGCAAGTTGGAATAGATACAGGAAGCCCGGAGGCCCATCTCGCGCCCTGGCGAGCCAAGAAAGCTATGCAAACTGACTAGTGGGATAAAATTTGGTGGTTAAGGCGCCATCTTACTGACCAGAAGGTCGGGATTCGAACCCAAACTAACATCCCACTTGCATCTGTCTAGGCTCGGGAACCCCGCTTGTATTCCGGCTCATGCCTCTTTCAGATGGCGCCGAAATGGTGTAAATCTGAACGGAATTCGTGTTTGAAACGATACTTTCTAGTTTGAAAATGCAAGATAATCGACCAAAGTAGTGTTTTCTCTACTCCAAATTGAAACTAGTTTCCTTGGAAGGGAGTTCATCACACAATCAAGCAAAGCCAACATTCTGGAACGTCACAATGGCTTACTTGATATCAACTGTGTATCGCCTTTCAGTGAATTTTTCACATCTACCGAGTAGTGTTTGTGTTTCCAAGATTCACAAATATCGATGATAAAGGGTTACAGTTTGTGCGGAGTGCAGCAGTCTGTGCAAAACAAAGTTTTTAATAGTCCACTGTAAAAACTGAGCTCTTGGCTTCGTTTGTTCTCACCTGTCAGAACGCGGCTTCGTGTGGTGAGGGGACATTCACTTTCCACATCCACTGATCATGCATTAGGCCATTCGGTAATTATCATGTGTGTATTACAAACACACCTGCAACATTTGGAGGCCGCCTCACAAATGCGTAATGTGGCGGTAGATAAAAGAGAATTTCACTTGTGTCCATGTTCCCTCATTGAAGACCTTTGAACCGAGTTGAGCTCTACTGTTCTCCCATCAGTTGCGGGAATCACCTGATTGTTCCGTACAAAAAAAATCAGATTGTCTAGCGCCTTATACGAACACAAATCACTCGTTCATTTGTTGGCGTCTGTCCATCGCAAACAATCAGAACCACGGTCCGTACACTATTGATCAGTGTAGACACACCATGGCAGCGGTACCCGTTGTTCGGTCCTGTCAAATTACCTATACAACCTTTGACTAAAGGCGGCGGTACGATGAAAACTTCGAAGCGTCCCGGAAACTAATCACCCATTCGGACTGACATACCCGAAAAAAAGGGAAATGGGAAAATTGGCTGGAATTGGACAGAATGAGGTACAGATTTCTCGGTTCTTCGTGTGTCAGTTTTTCTGTATGGGTGTACGTCCGCACGGCTCTGTTCATCACCGGGCATCAAAGTTCACCCGCTTAGTACCGCCACTATACAGCGAATGACGTGTTGGCGTCTTAGTGCATCTGTCCATTTCGGTCTACGGATACGTGTATATCGTCCCAAAACACACATGTGGGCATGCTTACATTGTTGTCCTGTCGTTCGAGTCAATTAGGAACCCAAGTTGAGCTTGGAACTTTGGGCAACAGGACTCGGCCTCTACGCCAGTAGTAGCAGTGCGAAGTGACGCAGATGAAGGATCACTAAGAGTTACGTCGATTTGGGTCGTAGGAATTTTTCTCCTTGTCAGGCGTAGTTGCTGTTGCGTGCGACATATCAACTGCCATGGCACGCCGCCGCGCTCTCCCGTTCACAGCCGACCTAACAACGGCGGCATTTTGACAGGGCATATAGCACCTAGACAACCGATCAATAGCACCGTCATTTGTTCAGTATGTATACAGCATGTTTGTGTTGTGTGTGTGTGTTGGTCGGCGACCGAAGGTGCGATTTGCTTACTTGTGTGCGAGTAGAACGGGGCCATGTAGGACAGTGGGTTGGTGACAACAGCGAATGGAAACGTGTAGCTCATTGAACTTCTCACTGTTGACCACAGGACAATGCATAGACAGAACCGCGGTGGTGGCAGCGACCAAAGGAAGCAAACGTCGCGTGTCCCCGATGCAGCCAGACTTTCCAGAAGCTCGGACAAAAACAGGTTTGGAAAAGTAATCTAGTCCCGAGCACACCAGCACGATTTTCTGGAAGAATGGGCAAATGCAGGCGGAGTGCAATATTGCCGGAGTGTTTCTAATGCGAACTGAGTGCAGGTAGCATAGATGGAAATAACAAGGGAATCCAGTGGCTGTCTATCAAACCATTTAAGATTAGGTGGTAAGACATTTTGTTGTGACAGTGAAGTCAATCTACGCTGAAGAGCCGAAAGGCACCCTGCAACTGTGTCATCTTTGTTGAAAATCACCGGCGTTGCGCATCTCAGAAAGTTTCGAGCCCGCGACCTTCCGGCCAGTTGTTCAACGCTTGACCGTTTGGCCAAGACGGTGCCTGATCAGCATTGTGATTAGCTCTCACGAAGACAGGGCACAGCGCCGGTCATCCTTCAATAACAGAGTACTCCACAGAACAGTGCAACGCACTGGTTACGTCATCTTGATTGGGAACAAAACTACCAACCTCAGTGAATAGCCGACACACTGCTTTCGTCAACCTTTTAAGCCTTTTCCATGCGGTAAAGTTGAAACATTCTGAATGATTCTGTGTTATAACCGAGTCTGTATTGCATAACAACCCAGTTGTCGCTGCTTTTAGGGATGTAATGCGTAGAAAACCACCGTAAGCTCAGGCACCCGACACCAGGACGCCGTCCAACTGGCTTGTTTCATTCTTTCTCTACTAACGCAGCCTTGATTTGACAACGATTTTACTAATTGGATTAGGACTTGTTTGTCTTTTTTTGGCTCATCAAACCTCAAACACGACGTAGGATAGTAATAAGATTAGGTTTCACTTGGTAGGTGTGAGTTTGCTTCGCTGGGCGGGGCTCGAATAGTTCGCACCTGGCACGGCAGTCGTAATGAAATTGCGCCAGCTATGGATGTCCTGAAATAATACACTCATCAAATTAAAGGAGTGATGGTTGGGATATGGCATGTGCCAACCAAATATGGACCATTTTCGACTAATGGAGTTGTTTTTATTGATCATGCAATGATCATTGACAAAGAAAGTTCTGACTTCACAGTTGGCAAAAAAACAGATGAGATATTTAGGTTTTGAGGCGAGGCCCAGGTACATCTAACATGAGCTAAAACGCACGCTTGCAGATGGACCCGAATTATCGACTTCCTACTTGCCAAGCGTTTTTCATAGCAAACAGAAATACGAGGAAGCTTGATTTCCTGAAAGGAAACGACTCACAAAGTTGCTGAAAGCTCTTCCACGGCAACGGTGTGAGTAGCTTCCTTTCATGAAAATATACTGCTTTGTCTTGAATATCGTGTCAACTGAAACATGAGGTAGCCTCTGTGTAGCACATTCAGTTGATGAACATCATAAACGAGTGATTCAGTTGGACCCCTCGCGAAAACCAAACTGATATGCAAACGGGTGCATTTATCCAAGCTTGCTTTCCACTTGTGGGGTCGTGCGTGATATTTGAGTGCCCGGTGCGAGGCAAGCATCCTTGGTAGAATTCAGTGGGACAATAATTCAGCCAGCGACGGCTCGACGTTTTGTGCTGTTTGACCAAATCATGTGTAGCCAAATAGCTCATTTCATTCTTGGAAGAGTTGTTTGCTTCCCGGAGACCCAGCCTTTGCCGATCCCCATTAGTTGAGTGTGATAAGTGGGACACTTTGTCGCCGTTAGTAACTCGGCTGAACATCAGTGTTGTCGCCTCGAGTAAGTGAAGTGGAACTGTACAAAGCTTACGTTTCTCAAGTGTTTAGTAAACAGAGGACTCAGCAGAATGTGTGATTGAATCGGCCTGAATTTCCGTGTAGCTTAACCTTGAACAGTAAATTGCTGTGCAACGAGATCCTTCGTTGATCGATTGGCTTATCCACTTAGACTTTGTGATATTGTCTTATTGTTGTGGCTAATGGGTCAGGTTAGATCCGTCGAGATGGTCCAACAGCAATCAGCTGATTCCAGGCCTCAACACTATGTGCAGACATGTCATTGGATCGCTAGGGACCAATCACGCTTTCTTTATGGGACTGAGTCACGTGGGCTCAGTCGTATGGATCAATCACGCTTTACATGGCGGTTTTAGGTTTTGTTCACAAACCGATCTGAATAACCCCACAGCCTAGGGAATATACACTCATTTGCAAACTAATTTTTTTTTCTCGAGAGAAACATCACAAACGAGAGATTCAGTTGGGTTCCAGGTGAGGCGTCTCTCGAAAAAAACAAATTAGTTTGCAAATGAGTGTATATTCGCTAATTTCGTGCAATTTGGTTTCAATTAGAACATGAGGTTGACGGAACCTCGGGGACTGTGTCTACCTGATGAGCCCCAAAAAGGGTGAAACCGGTCGTGGGTCGTCGATGGATTTTTATCAACCATACGAGTAGTACATTACAAACCCCACAGCCTGTTGAACCAAGACTTTCACCATGAGGTCAAACACGAGTGGTTCAAGGGCTTAACCGCTTCGAACAAAAACTAGGACAAGAGATGGGAAGTCCGGAACCCCCGATGACCGATTAAACATGGAATCATAGTGAAAACAGATGATTCGCAGTCTGAAAGCCCATTTAGCTTGTTCCCCAATCTTATCCAGTTGTTTCATGTTCCACCAATGAACCGAATTTTCAAGCACGCATCTGAAAGCTTTCTCTTATGCCAGTGAGCTTAAAAGTGAGTGGAAAACAAGACTGGTTATCATGGGAACCTCAGTATCCAAACAAGGGGAATGACTATGCTGATTATAGACTAGGTTAAAACAAAACTAGGAATGTCCTGATTGGTAAGCTGATAAACAGGTGTCTCAGCTTAAATCTAGTCCAGCTATACAATCCATCCTCTACTGTGATTCGGTTTGTTTTCGACAACTCAGTAGTATCTGTGTTAAGCCCTTCGAGTTTCTATGGAATGTTATGAAAACGTTTGGAAACTGGTATCTGAGTTAATCAAATACCTTCGATCATTTTCAAATGGACACTGAAACACAGATTTCAAAAGCTTAGAAAAGATCCATCAGGTTGAATTCGATTCTTACAATTACTTGAAAATTACTTTGATGTTGAAGGGAGACTCAACTCGCTCCCGGCTGAATCGTCTAAGATACTGCGCAGCTGAATATGTTGTAAGAAACAGTTTCACGTTCCATTGGGTACGATATTCGAGATATTGCAATGTACTTTGTTGACAAAAAACACTAATTATAGGTTTCCTGGAAACTCTCCCACAGCTTACTATCCGTTTTAACCTGGAGCTTCCCAGGTAGGCGTAGCCTCAGAGCTTGCCCGATTGGTACCTCGTAAAAAGCATGATGAATAACCGTAAGGAAGGGCCACTTTCTTCCAGAGTTTCATTAACTGATCGTTGTTTCATTTACTGAGGTTTGTCCCTAACCAAAGCTCTCTCTGTTTCCGATTTTCTGACCGTTGCAGCCTCCAAACAGTTTCTTCAAAAGAACTCCCGAAAATCTCAGTCGAAGCAATCAGCGAACAATCCTAACAAGGGTTCGGCCAGTGCGAAACCAAACACGACCGAGGAGGCGGTTCCAGATTCCAGTACTTTCGCGCGGGAAACGGCAACCGCCAAGTCCACTTCTGGAAAGTTTGACGTCAATGAATCTCCCACATGGACAGAAGATGAGACCGTCGGTGAACTTGGGGCAAACAACTCCAAAAAGTCCGACACGACGTTTGGAGATGAAAATGAATCGGACAGTGAGGAATTCGCTTATCTCAGTCAATCAACAGACACAAAACGAACAAGAACAGCCTACACTAGGCAACAGATTCTTGAGCTTGAAAAAGAATTTCATTATAATAAATATCTGACGCGCAAAAGACGCTTGGAAATCGCGCACACCCTGACCCTATCAGAAAGACAAATCAAGATTTGGTTCCAAAATCGACGAATGAAATGGAAGAAAGAACACCACTTACCTGGAATGAAACAGAGGCTAATCGAACCCAGGTCACCGGTAACTTCCAGAAATCACCATCTATGCCCCTCACTTGTTCAATCCAATGTATCTACCCTTCCGATGGGGACAATGAAACTTCCGCAAGATTATCGTGCTCTGATAGATCCAGGTATGTGTCGAGTACCCGCGGATTTCACCTACGCGCCGTTTCCAGCCATGTCAAACCCCATTCCACCTTCCGATCAATGGTCCAGCACCTTAGGCCATCCAATGTCTTTCAGTTCGAACGCCTCTTCTACCGACACCGGTCCAAATTCCGTAATACCTGGAACCAACTTTCCGTACAACAGCGATGCATACGGTTCCGTTGTGACCTCGATCGGGCCTGTGAGTGCCCAACAATACTCACGTAGTCCACACGATCAGACCGAACAATCCTCAAACAGTCAGCCTTCACACTCTGTTATTACTTCCGTATCATCCTCCGGCGGCTTGAGATACAATGTTTCCAAGACGAATTCTTCGAGAGAATTCACGCCTGACCTCGTGTCAGCACTGGCCACGAGCAAACTGAAATCAGTGCACAGCTATACGTGTGCACCCAAATCCAGTGGACTGATAAACATTTCCGGTCTTACAGGAGACAGGTCCTATCCACTATTCGGAGGTGGGAATAGCACCAGTAACAGCAGCGTTGCAAGTAGCGCTCAGAGTAGTCATGAAACAGTGGACTGAAGTGACACGGATCTCCACCCCCCCGCCGACGGCTCCGAATGAAATCTACTCAGCCATGCATTCCACGGTTTATCTTGGACAAAGATAGACGGTTTGTGCGCTTCACAGTCATCTGACAGGGAATCGAAAGGTGTGTTTTCGCAAACGCCTTGTGTGATTGTTTTACTACATTAACAAAACTAGACGCAATGATATATATACTATATATATAAATATATTGTGTACAGCCAACTAAGTTTCCGTATATTTACACGATGAAACAGTATGAATAAAGTTACCAGAATGAAAACGCTTCTTTTTCCCCATTGTAACTGTGTATTGTGATAAATTAGAACAAATATGGCTGTATTTAACAGGACATGAACGGAACTGATTACTCGAAAAATGCCTCTTAGGGTTAACAGCGGTGAAACTCTGTTGCGCAGGCCTTCTAGACGCATTTTCGGAAGCATTTTCCGGAGAGCCTACAGGCAAACTCATTCCTACGTATGGATTCAAAATCTTTCTAATTTTGCAGGTGTCATGGAAAATTGTGGCATCTTATGGTAGGTCGTCACAATAGGCATCCAGATCCCCCAAAAGGTTATTTAAAACTGATGGGAGATTAACCAACTAGATATATATATATACTATATATATAAATATATTGTGTACAGCCAACTAAGTTTCCGTATATTTACACGATGAAACAGTATGAATAAAGTTACCAGAATGAAAACGCTTCTTTTTCCCCATTGTAACTGTGTATTGTGATAAATTAGAACAAATATGGCTGTATTTAACAGGACATGAACGGAACTGATTACTCGAAAAATGCCTCTTAGGGTTAACAGCGGTGAAACTCTGTTGCGCAGGCCTTCTAGACGCATTTTCGGAAGCATTTTCCGGAGAGCCTACAGGCAAACTCATTCCTACGTATGGATTCAAAATCTTTCTAATTTTGCAGGTGTCATGGAAAATTGTGGCATCTTATGGTAGGTCGTCACAATAGGCATCCAGATCCCCCAAAAGGTTATTTAAAACTGATGGGAGATTAACCAACATTAGACGAACCAAAAAAAGAGATGGCAACCTCAGTTTGTCGTGAAACGACAGTAAGAGGACAAAATCACATGTAGAATCAAAAAACTGGTTCAGCCGGTTTGATCTTACAAGCTGCTCACCTGACCCGGAACGGGATGGCTGCAATGGTGGGTGGGTACAAAGGAAAGACGACAGTGGAGTTGGCCAGTGTAAATTTGTCAAACCGCATGGGACAACCCCCCCCCACCCCCCGCCATCAAAGCAGCGGATGGTTCTCGCGTTCCTGAATATCGATGAGAAGGAGATGCGTGCCTGAACAAGTGTTCAGTCTTGAAAAAGCATGCAAAAGGAAGGTAAACAACACGGGAACTACAAGTACATGCCGGACAAGGTCATTTACTGGTGTCATCCAGTCAACGTGTGTCAGAGACTATGAACACACAATCCACATCCGGTCACACAAGGTGTGACCGTACTGTTACGAAGACAACTCTGCAAGAGACGCACTGTTTCAACAGAAAAGTGTTTCGGATTTCAAGCCTGAGTTTGGGCAGTCCTTTGGATTCACACTGACATACATAATAATTTTCATAAGAACCTAAAATCTTGGAATTCCTGTCGAGTTATCGTGATAACTTTAACCAGTACATCTTAGGGAGAGAGAGACGCTTGCTCCAACCTTTCAGTTTTCGTCTGACACGTGGTGATTCCCGAGTCCCAGTTACTAAGGCTGAAACTGTTGTGCACTTTCATATGCTCAACAATTTGGTTTTAACTGGAGAGGCGAAAAATCTCACCTGAAGCTCTCCATCGTGATATTTTGCTTCACTTCATGTTTTATTTGGTGCGACATTCCAGGTAGTGCAGTGTATTATCTTGAAAGAACTGTTCTTACACAGTCCTCCCCGGGCGAAACCGGTTGTGAGCTACCGAAGAGCTTTCGAGGGGACTACTTATTCGGAAGCAATAAGTAGTATCGTTGAATTCCACACATCGGAAGCCGAAAGAAACAGCTGACATGAGTAAGAAAATGTCACAGCTATGCCACGGCTAGGTAGCCCCTCCGTACGGAGTGGTGAAAACTCACAGTACATCCATGACCAATAAATAATGCTGAGAGGGAAACTTGGACTGATATGGAGGAGAAAGTGGTTATTTGATCTTGAAGAAAGTTATCTGCAATTCTGTAAAACATTGTCCTTATGATCGTTTCGCGCCGAGTCTGAGATTACCTTGCAGCACTAAACAGAGGCACAGTTCCTAAAGCTATAGAAGCTGAATGATTGTTTTAGGTAACAGCGAAATAGCTCAAAATACCCCGTTGTTCTTGCAATGGTATGGTGGATCTAGTCTGTTGGTTTCACTTAGTCTTGAAATTTGCAACTCTACACTGTTCGCCAATGATTCAGCTTTGAACGTGCTCTGTGGGTTGATACACCGAACACCTTCTGTTATCCACCACTTTAAGAGGTTTGATCTTTTGACTTACAAGGCCTGAAGCACGGCAAAGCGCGTCAACTCTGTCAACTCTTCCAACCAAGGTTACTGTGAGCTACAAAGTTGAACAATCCGACTTTAATTTACCACATGGGTCGCATTGTGGTCGGGTGAGAAGCGAGTGGGGATCTGCCCTAAGAAATCCGCGTTGCAAGTGGTGAAGTTGGCCATTCAAACTGACAGATGAGCTGTAGCTCCATATTCCACAAAATCTCGACTGTGTCATTCTCAGACGACTGACCATATTGACAAGATATCCAGTTTTGTCTCCGATTCGATAAAGTTTCTGGGATCTTTTCCAGATAAGCCCCGCCAAAAAATTACCCCCCGCCACCCAAAAAAGAGTAAAAAAGACGAGACGAAACTTGTACTTTTAGTTTTTTATTGAAGAGGGTGACATTGAGACATTTCATTAATAATTTGCATGAAAAAATCCGTTTTTCGGTACACTTGCCTCCAAACGAGCTCACACAAGTAGTTGTCTACTAAAGATCGATGTGTACCGCATTGGCGTTTATTCTGCATCTTGTAGACGTGCCAAAGAGATTCGACGGTTTGTGTGTGATCTCCAGTCGTTGGGTCCACACAGTTTTCGGTATGATTGACCGTCGGAGTCTGCAAAATCCGCCAGGCGCGAAATTCGCGAAGAAAGTTCTTCCAGTCAACAGCGGTCGTGTGGCTAACAGATAATTCCTCTGAGTAGAATTTGTTTTTTGCCATATTTTTGGACCACCTATAAATGAATAGAATCACTGTCCCAAACTCTCCATCCTGGACCGCTCTAGCCAAGTTTCCTTTCGAAGACTAATTTCTTGCCGACACTGTCGGACATTGCACCTCCACCTGTCGGAAACAGTTGAAAGTGTCATTTGGTGGCCATAAACGTTGGCATAAACGTTGCTGATGGATCACTCCGTGGCTTTGCAAAAAGCGTATTGCCGCCGTGAGCGAGAGTTGAAAGCGTCAGAAAGTTTACTTAAGGTTTCACTTCCGAACGGAGAAAATTTTTGTACAAAATGAGCCTAGATGAGGATAGGGAATTGTTTTTATCAAAAATAGGTCAAGGTTGTGTGCGCACTGATCCAATCTCCAATTTGATTTGTCAAGCGAGCAGCGCCTTACCCATACCGACCTTAAGTATTAGAAGCAGCTATTTCTGCGATGTTCATTAAACGTGGTCCTGTTATCAGTTAGAGAGTTGGAGTAGCCGTGAGACTCCTTTTTAACTGGCGCTTTTATAAGTCAAATTAGACCTAGTATTTCAGGCCACTGGCAGCTCTCTAGTTTACAAAGGCTACGTTTATGACAGTTTTACGGTCTATAAATGACCTGTCACTATACAAGTGCTTCTTCGCTCTGCTGACTTGGCTCATTCAGTGGAGAGTGAAGACAAAAACAAGCCTCAGTTTCTTGATGTTCCGTTGATTCATATACTGAGACGTACTCTCAAAAGATGCGCGCACCGAAAACCGAAGTGGTTGGTCAAGAACACAGACTTTCACAGCCCATAAAATTTGTGTCGATGACACAACTGAAGACTAGTTTAGTTCTATTCTTACTCACAGACTAAAGATAGACCAGACAAAATGGAGTGGAGGCAGTCCCACACCTGTCTATCTAGATCAAACTACATTTTGGAAACGATAGGACTTCAGAACTGATCACATGAAAAATGAATTTATTCCTGGAAGGGATGTTGTGTGTCGGTCAGCTGGGGATTCACTTCAGTGGTATCACGTTTGTGAATACAGTGCAAAATTTGTGAGCCGTACAGATGGGAGACTTGTCCCAGAGAATAGATGGGCATTTGTAGTGTATCACGCAGAACCGAGCAGTTCATTTAAGGGACGCGGAACACGGTGTCAACTCGGAAGATCCATTTACTTTCGTTTATCGAGTGTTAACAAACTGCTCCAATTCCACCTAGCAAAGCATTCTCCCAATGTCAGAACCGATCGCTAGTTATTGCTGAATTACCCTCGTTTGCAAGCAAATCTGGTTTCGCGAGAGACTCAGAACCCAGCTGAATCTCGCTCTTGCTTCCAAATGAGTGTAGTTCGCTAATTTCGTCCAATTTGGATTCAGCTAGAACATAAGGTTGATGGAAAACTGGGAACTGTGCCTATTTGATGAGGCCCAAGAAGGGGAAAACCGGTCATGGGCTGTCGAAGCGTTTTCAGCAACCTTATGAGTATTGTGTTACGTCCATCACTGGCAAGTTAGTTGTTTCCAACCTCCTTGTGTCATCGCGACTTGAAACCATTGACTCTGCATTGACCAGATGTAACTAACTGATGTAACTAACTGACATCCAGAAATTTACCTGTCGTCTGAGTGTCTACTGGAAGCAGTTGTTGGTAAAATATGCCATATGTATATCACAGCTAGACAGTTTATGGCTACAAGTCTTTCACTGGATGAGTGCTCATTAAAAAGCCTCGAGGAAGCAGTCAATACGTGATCACGTGATCTGTATCCCG